GAGCCTCACCTGACATGGTCCTGAGAACTGAACTCGGTCCTCTGCAAGCGCAGCAAGCACATGTCCCTCCCTCCGAGCCGGCTCTCCAGCTGCTCCGTCTCCTTTCTGACCACTATCCCCATTATAACCCTATACCAGCCACGGTCCTGCACTGACGCCGCTTCAGCTGTCAGGAAGGCCAGACAATATCGAAAGCATATGAAGGAGTACGCAGGTTCCAGGCTGATGAGACATTTATTTTATCTTCCATTTATTTATTTATGATTTTCATGTGGTGCTGGCTGTTCTGGAAATCGCTCTGTAGACAGGCTGGCCTCGAACCCACAGAGATCTGCTTGTGTCTGCCTCCTGAGTGCTGGGATTGAAAGCATGCACTGCTGCTGCAGGGCTAGTGCTACATTGTTTTATAAGAAGGACCCGCTTGGACGATCCTAGAACAATTCCTGTGGACCCTGAGGGATGACCCCAGAGCATGAGCCATGTGAATCGACACTGTCATTGCTACCACCTCAGCTGGAGGGGTGGAAAGCCCTCTCACCATGGCCCTTTCCCCTCCTCCCAGGGACCTCCTTCTGAAGAAGTCCACTGCAGGATGGAATCACAGGGAGCAGAAGTAGCCAGCTGAGGCCTGCTATCCACATGGTCCCCGCCAACGCACTAGCAGGCAGCAGATACCTTTATGCTCCACAGAAACCAGTTGAAAGAAACCAGAAGGGCCAAATGTGCCCTACCCAAAGTGTTGACTCATGGAGTCAGGGAAAAGAGCATGAGGGTTCTGAGGGAAGTATGCTGTGAGGCAGGAACAGGCTGCAGAACTGTCCTGTCTAGACAGGACCTCAAGCCACACGTGGTGACACACGCTTGAAGTCCCAGCACTCGGGATGCATGTGGGAACAGAAGGATCCCGAGTGCAAGGCCAGCCATGCTTACGTGAGAACTTGCCTCCAAAAAAAAAGCTAAGAAAAATAGCAAATATCAGCTGAGGACTAGGGGTGTGTCTCCGCAGTAGAGCATTGCCTGGCATCTATGAGGTATCCCAGTACCTCCAAAAAAGGGGCAAAGAATCTAAGCTGGGGCACATCGGCTCGTGCCTGTAGCATCGAAGATGGCTCACACTGGGCTCAGCGGCACAGGCCTGTAATCCCAGAGGCAGGCGGATCCCTGTGAGTTCAAGGCCAGCTTAGTCTATAAAGGGAGTTCAGGACAGCCAAGGCTACACAGAGAAACCCCTGTCTCAAAAAACAAAACAAAACATGGCTTACTTGACCCAAAGAGTTAGAGACCAACCAGCTTGATGGCAGTAAAATCCTATCACACACACAGGGAAAAATGTGGAGTTCCTAGAGAGATGGCTCAGTCAATGGTCTTGAGTACTGAACACTCTTCCAGAGAACCTAGAGACAGTCCCCACACCCACATGGAAACTCACAAATGCCTGTAAATCCATTCCCAGAGGATCCACTGCAGGCATGTGGCACACAGACACACACATTAAAGGAATAATAAATAACTTTTTTTTTTTTTTTATGTTTTTAGGGCCAGGAATGTGGGGATGTGGTTCAGTTGATAGAGTGACTTTTTTTTTTTTTTAAAGCCTGAAGGCTTCTGTCTTCAGCACCAGAAACAGCAGTGTGTTGACCTAAATCACTTCCTGCCACCCCTAAAAAGTTACAGGAAAGACCTTTCTTCTGTTTGGGAAATTAGTCCAGAGAGATGCCTACAGGGGCAGGCTGGGAGATCACTCCGAAGGCCACCTTCTGAAGAGGCTCCTCTGGCCTCTCCCCAACAACCCTCATGGTTTCTCCACTTCCCATGCTCCTGCCTGTGTCTGCCTGGCTCTCTGTGTGTGTCTCTCTCTCTGTGTCTTTATGTCTGTCTGTGTGTCTCTGTGTGTTTGTCTTTGTGTCTGTGTGTGTCTCTGTGTGTCTGTCTTTGTGTGTCTCTCGCTGTGTGTATCTCTATGTCTGTCTGTCTCTGTGTTTCTCTGTGTGTGTCTCTGTGTGTCTGTCTGTCTGTGTATGTCTCTGTGTCTTTGTGTGTGTTTGTCTCTGTGTCTGTGTGTGTATATCTCTTTGTGTCTCTATGTCTGTCTGTCTCTGTGTGTCTCTATGTCTGTCAGTGTCTGTTTCTGTGAGTCTCTGTGTCTGTCTGCAGTCTCTCTTATTCCTAGAGAAGCTATGGTTTCTGTCCAATGCTCTCCCTCCCACCTTGAGGCCCAATCACAGCTCTGAGTCTCCTCATTCTAATGAGGTCTGCTGAAAGGAGATGTGTCAGTCAACTTTCCAAGCGGACGGCTACTGCTTTGCTTCTGGCCACCTGCCACAGGCCCTTTCTTCCTTGAGTCGTTAACTGTTGCAGCATCAAGAAAAATAAGGAACAGTCTGGTAGTGGTGGCACACGCCTTTATTCCCAGCTCTCAGGGAGGCAGAGGCAGGTGGATTGCTGTGAGTTCAAGTCCAACCTGGTCTACAAAGCAAGTCCAAGACAGCCAAAGCCACACAGAGAAACCCTGTCTCAGAAAACAAAACAAACAACGAGAAAGAGTAAAGGGCATAGCTCCCACCAGCTTTGTGGCAGGTGACACCTGCCTCGTGTAGGTCATGACACGGATACTGAGGTTAGAGACCAGAAGGTCTTGGGTCTGCAGATGTCTCACTGGAGACCAAAGCGGGGCGAGATGCTTGGCCTGTCTCTCTTCATACTACCTCTGACTCCTTTTCTGTCTCAGCCTTAGCATGGGGCTCTACTCGCCCCTGTGCAGAGGCGTGCTGTTTTATTGGAAGAGATAGCATAAGGTCAATATGAATAGACTTCCCTTCAAGGCTACCTTTCAGACATGACTGAAAATTGCATACCGTGAATGTGCATCAGGAGAAAGGGGAGAGAACACAGGATTAACATAAGAGAGCAGAGGGGTGCCCCGGGGTATAAAGGAGCTTGCTGCCAAGTCTGATGACCTGAGTTCAATCTCTAAGACCCACAAGGGTCTTGATAGAACTTGATGAAACCATTTCTAGATTTAGCTCAAGAATAAACTCTTTGACATGAGAGCTGTGGTTTGTGTTGAAAGGCCACGCCTATCCCCCTGACCCCTTTCCATTTTCTCTTCTATTTATTTGTGTCTGTGTGTATAGTTGCTTGTGTGGAGGCTAGAGGACAGGTCACAGAAGTCAGCTTGCTATCTCTCTTCGTCCACGACGCGGGTGCAGGGAGTCAAACTCAGGTCCCCAAGCTGGTACCTCCCGATATTCTTCCCCTTTGAAAACCTACCTCTCATTATTTCTATCCTGTTTGTAACACTTGCTGCCCCCTAGTGGTAGATTTTATGTGAGCAAAGCTATTGTTTCTTTGGGGGCTGGATTCATTGGGCTTATCAAGTGGATGGTTTCTTGATTACTTACATCTGATTATTTTTCGGGAGTCTATTAATGCATATACAGATACTGGGGAGGAGGGATGGGGTTGTAGCTCAGTAGAACACTTACCTCTTATGCACGATGCTGGATTAATGCCTGGTATTGCCAAAACAGAAATGGAAAAGAAATATCTGAAGTCGCCCCTGGGACCCAGCAAACTGGGATTCAGTTTCTGACTCTCTCTCTTCACCTACTAAAGCACTTGAAGCTCAGAAAGGGTATTCCTATTGTCCACCTGAAATAGCTTTTCTCTGCCAGAAGTGCTTTTCAAGTTGTAAAAGGCTAAAGCAGATCTTAGTAAAAGGGTCGTAGTGCATGCATAACTCTTGAGTGCCTTCATTTGACTCACTTCCCTGCTTCCTCATCCTTCATCTCCAACCCAGCTCCAGAAACTGCCAGCACTGTCTTCTTGGCCAATACAGGTGGGAAGACCCAAGTTCTAATCCTTTTTTTTTGCTACTTAACTTTATCACGCAGGGACCCTCCTAGACTCAGTTTCTACTCCGGCATAACAGAGACAAACACAAGTGATGTGTGTGTGAGAATAGGCTCTGTGGGCCGCAAGACGTCATAATCACTACAGTGCGAGGACGGGGCTGGGAATGTAGTTCAATGGAGCCTCTGGGCTGAGCCCCCAGTTCTGCACAAACAGAGAGGTGGTGCACGCCTAAAATCCCTGTGCTCTGGAGGTGGAGCCTCAGAAGCTCAAAGTTGACTTTGGCTACCGAGTGAGTCCAGGCTAGCCTGGGCTACATACGATCATCTTTTAAAGACTAAAGCAGGGCTGGAGAGATGGCTCAGTGGTTAAGGGCATCCACTACTCTTCCAGAGGACCAGAGTTCAATTCCCAGCATCCACAATAGGTGGCTCACAACCACCTGAAGCAACAGCTCCAGAAGATGCAACTCCCCTAGCTTCCACGGGCACTTGTACACACCCACACAGCAGACACACGTGCGTGCATAGAAAATAGTAATAAATTAAAAAAAAAAAAAAAAAAAACGAAAAAAAGGGGAGAGTGGCTCTGAAGGCCCCACTCCCTCTCTGAGGATCTACCGGCAGTAACTACCAGTAAGGTACACAAGCTTTGTAAAAAAAAAAAACAAAAAAACAAAAAAAAAAAAACAAAAAAACAAAACTTTAATCTGCTTCTGTAAGCAACTTTAATGAAACTCATTGGATCACAAAAATAGCAAATAAAATCTAAGAAAATAAAAGTGAAAAATAAAAAAGGGCTAGAGAAATGGCCAAGCCAGATAATCCAAATTCAACGCGCAGGAAGGAGACAACCAACTCCCTTAAGCTGTCTGTCCTCCACATACATGCAAGCACATGCCCCTAGCCCACACTTAAACAAATAAACATATGTAGTTAAATTAAAGAAAAAAACAAGAGCGACATAGAGGCTGGAGCCTGGACAAGAGTATTTCTAGGAAAGCAACCTGCGCAGCCCCGGTGGGTGAGCTGGAACTACAACTCCCGGCCGCCTTTGGCCTAGTGGCTCCACGGGATTGGGCCTTCCTCCATAGGGCGGGGCTTGAGAGGCCAGCCTTCCGCTGTTGCCAGGGGAGACCGCCGCAGGAAGGCGGAAATTGCCGAGGCAGGCGGAGAGTGCCGAGGCGCCGCGCGGGAAGGTGCCGTGGCCATGGCGGCCCCGGGGCCCGCGAGTCGCTTCTGGTGCTCGTGTCCCGAGGTGCCTTCCGCCACGTTCTTCACCGCCCTGCTCTCGTTGCTGGTGTCGGGTCCCCGCCTGTTCCTGCTGCAGCAGCCTCTGGCGCCCTCGGAGTTGTCTCTGCGCTCCGAGGCCCTGCGCAACTGGCAAGGTGAGCAGGGGCTGGGCGGGGATGGCGTGCTTCCTCATCCCGGGACGCCCCATCCTTGAGTCCAGCCTCACCGCCAGCCAACCCCGGCCTCCGTGCCTATCTCATTTCAACCCACTTGGAGCTCCAGCATGTCTTGCCCAAAGCCTCATCACATCGTTTCCGTCAATTCCTTCCTTACCCCAGGTCCATGCATTCTTTGAGCTCGAGGGTGAACACCCTTCCTGCACCTCTCCCGCTTTATAAACACAGACCGCGCCCGCTGACGGCCTGCGCCCCAGAGGAACAAACCAAATGTCCCTCACTTTCCGCGTGACAGTTGAACTTCGTCTGTTGTCACCTCTGTGAATGGCTTTTCCTCTTGGGTCTAGAATTTTTTACCTTAATCCCGACTCTTAATCCTAGCTTGTGGTAGGCGCCCCTGGTAAAGTGTATGTTTTCTCGGGGGATAGAAGTTTCTCAGACCAGTAAGTCTGTAATCATCCTTTTGTAAGGACAGGATTCCTAGTCTTTGTTTCTTCCTCATTCCTTCCTGGGAAATCCCGGTTGCTCCTAATGCAACCGAGGCCTGTGCATTTATTTCCTGTAATTCTCACGGCGATTTCATGACAGGCCATATTAAATTGCCTGTTTACCAGAAACTGAGGCTGAATACAAAGAACCACAGGGCTAATACATTATAATAATGAGATAGCGTTTTAAAAAAATATTTGTTTATGTATGAATGCTCTGTCTGCATGTACACGTGCATGCCAGAAGAGGGCATCAGATCTCCTTATAGATGGTTATGAGCCACCATGTGGTTGCTGGGAATTGAACTCGGGATCTCAGGGAGAGCAGACAGTGCTCTTAACCTCAGAGCCATCTCTCCAGCAACCCCAGCTGGAGATGTATGATGTTTTAGAACTGCGGCTTTGGGTATATATCCTGACATCTTTATATAGATAGATATATACATATGTGAGTTATTTATATGCAAGTCATTTATTTGTATGCATATGTGGAGGTCAGAGGACAACTTGATGGGAGTCTTTCCTTCTCCCATGTGGATCCTGGGAATCAAACTCAGGTCTTGGGGCTTGGCAGCAAACCTCTTTATCCGTTGAGTCATCTCATCAGCTCCCTAAATCTTAGAGAGTTACTTGTAGAATCTTTTCATATTTACTTTTAAACTTTCAATTTGGGACGTATCCAGCAAATAATGAAGGCTTCGGGAAATAGTCTGACAAGGTTATGGTCTCCTGCTTACAGCTGAAACTTTCTCCCCGTGTGTTGGATACATGCAGCAGGTCTTACAGTCACCAAAATGCCAGTCCAGGTGAGGCACGCACCCTCTTTGTTTCCTTTGAAACAGGGTCTTGCTATTTATTTAGATCAGAATGGCCAGAACTCATTACGTAGCCCAGGCTGGCCTCAAGCCCACAATCCTCCTGCCTCAGCCTCCTGAGTACTAGGACACAGTGTACCACTATGCTTACTTAACCCTATTTGTCTGAATGTAGAACTCATGAACAGGTAGAGATATGGTTACATAAAGGGGCTGTTGAAGGGCCTCAAGTCTATTTTTTTTAAGAGTTATTTATTATTTATACAACATTCTACCTGTAAACCAAATCTTACTATAGATGGTTATGAGCCACCATGTGGTTGCTGGGAATTGAACTCAGGACTTTTGGAAGAACAGCAAGTATTCTTAACCTCTGAGCCATCACTCCAGCCCCCCAAGTCTATTTTTTTAATGAGGAAATTAAAGCTATGAGGATATGGACCTTGGATTTAACTGAGCCCAGGTAGTCTTACACTCATAAGAATGACACCATCACTTCATCAGTCTCGCTCTTTCATCCTAAGGTCTCTCTCAGCCCACAGAAATAGATAAGTACATCAGAGAACCTCGTGTGGTGATGTATGCCTTTGATCCTAGCACTGGACAGGCAGAGGCAGGCAGAGGCAAGAAGATCTACTTGGTGAGACCCTGCCTCAAGCAAACAAACAAAAGCACATTAGAGAGAGCCTTATAAAGTGGCTCAGCAGGTAAAGTCACTGGCCACCAATCACAAGAACTGGAGTTTGATCCCTGAGACCCACATGGTAGAACTCACTCCTGTGTGTTTCCCTCTGAACTCCATGGGGTGTGGTGTCACCAACATGCACTCCCACAAATAAATAAATATGTGATTTTTAAAGAATTATGCATGTTAGCAACAATTTGTATTTAGAAAAAAAATAAAAGTATAAACCAAAGAGGATGACAAACACCTGCCGTCTCAGCGCTCAGTAAGTCTGAGGCAGGAAGATCTGGCCAGCCTAGAATAAGGATCAAAACTTTGTCTCAAAAAAAAAAAGTGGTGACTTGCACTTATAATCCCAGCCCTCAGATAACAGGAGCCAGCCTGGTCTACATAGGAATTTATAGACCAAACAGTGGTGAAACCTTGTCTCAATGGAGAGAGAGAAAAGGACTTTTCTTTGCATCTTATGGCTGCACCAGTAAAGCTGAAAAAGCACTCTTAACTTCTAATATTATTCTAACAATATTCTAATAACATTATTAAGGATAACTTTATAGTCCTCATAAGCCACAAAGTAATTCATGGTCGTCCCCCCACCAACAGCCTCTGTAGAAGGAGAGGCCAGAATTACAGCCGAGGAGATGGGCGTGCGCACAGTGTTACGTGATGCCCACCCAGTCTACCCTGAAGCTCTTACAGTTAATTTACTACCCTCAGACTGCCCAGCGAGATCGGTCAGTATCAAATCTGAAAAAGGGCTGGAGAGCTGGCTTAGCAGTTAAGAGAACTTGCTGCTTTTGCAGAGTTCCAAGTCTTGTTCCTAGCACTCTGCCTGGGGCAGCTCACAACTGCCTATGCCTCCAGCTCCAGGGCAGCCAGCATCCTCCTCTGGCCTCCTCAGGCACCTACATACAAGTGACATCTATGGATACACAAAAATAGAAATAAATCTTTAAAAGAAAACCTAAAATAGTGTTATAAAGCATTTGACAAGTTCAGAAATCCACTCCAGTTTTCAAATTACCCTTTTCACACATAGAAATCAGTCTTGATAACCTCTGCCTAAGAGCTGGGAAAGAATGGAGACGTCATTATATTCCTAAGCTTTGGATCATGGGAACTGGTCTTGACAGTTCCAGCCTTCCAGCTCCAGCCAGGAAGGAATGGAGACTATATTATATACTTATGCCTTGAGTCATGGGCACAATTCTCACTTTGCTGTTGCATTTTTGTTTTTTTAATTTTGAGACAGGAGCCCAGGTAGTTCAAGCTGGCTTCAAACTCACAGTGTAGCAGAGAATGACCTTCTGATCTTTCTCTACTCCTGAATGCTGGCGTCATAGGTGTGTACCACCACTTCCTGTGTGAGGTGCCAATGGTGCTAATAATGGAACCCAGGGCTTTGTATGTGCTAGCCAAGTACCCTACCAACTGAGCCACAGCCCAGCTTCAGCTTCTCCCTCCCTGCTGGCGTGGAACCTGTCGAATGAGCCCTGCCTTGGACTCCTGACCTGAACCCTCTTTCAGTTTACAGGCTGGTGACCTACATCTTCGTCTACGAGAATCCGGTCTCCCTGCTCTGTGGCGCCATCATCATCTGCCGCTTTGCTGGCAACTTCGAGAGGGCCGTGGGCACCGTCCGCCATTGCTTCTTCACCTTGCTCTTTACCCTCTTCTCTGCCATCGTTTACCTCTCATTTGAGTCAGTGTCGTCATTGTCTAAGCTGGGTGAGGTGGAGGACGCCAGAGGCTTCACTCCTGTAGCTTTCGCCATGCTGGGAGTCACCTCCGTCCGCTCTCGGATGAAACGGGCCCTGGTGTTCGGTGTGGTGGTGCCTTCCATCCTCGTGCCTTGGCTGCTTCTGGGCGCCTCCTGGCTCATTCCTCAGACCTCCTTCCTGAGTAACGTCTCTGGTCTTTTGATCGGCCTATCATGTATCCTTCCTGTTAGGGAACTGCAGACTAAAGCTGCACCAGAGGGAAAACCCACCTGGAGAGCGTGGGGTGTCGGGTACACGGTCTTGGGCTCCTACACAAACAGCCTGAGCTTTGGCTCCAGCTTGGAAAACCCCAAAGCCTTGGTCAGCTCTCTGGCCCAGAACTCATCTGGAAAATTCAAGTATGGTTGCCTGGCCAGGCCAGCTCAGCACAGCCAGTTAGCAATTTGAGCTAAACTGTACCAGCCTTTTTTCTTCTTGCCAACTGAGGTGTAATCTACTCATCTAACTATAGTGTGAGGTCTCATTGGAAGAGGGCTAGGCATATGGCTGCCTCAATAAAGCCTTCGAGAAAGCTTGAGGACACATTCAGAGCCGTTTGACTTTTGACTTACACCCTAACCCCTGCCCTGTGGAGGTGAAGACTGGTAAGCCTCTAAGGCTCACTGGCCTGCTAGCCTGGCCTAGTGTGGTGAATTCCAGATCAAGCAGTTCCCAAGGGTCAACACCCAGGGTTGGCCACTGGCCTCCACACACAGGCACTCACACAGGGGATCATGGGACGAATCTGAGACACCGTCATCTGGGGACTTTCACGGAAGGGTTAAGAAACAGACCTTGGCTTTTTGATGTTTTGTTCTATTTTTGCTGAATTAATGGTATCGGCCCAGAGCATTGTGCATGATTGACAGGCACTCTACCTCTGAGCTACATCCCAGCTCTGTTTTTTTGTTTTTTCCTCAGAGGGAGAGGTGTTGTAACAGGTTCTTGTTATAAGGCCTAGGCTAGCTACACCTGGTACCACACCCCAATTACAAATTCCTTGTGCCCACTTTTTTAAATTATTTATTTTAAAAATATTTGTGCACCTGCTTGCTGGCCCTCGAGGCCGGAAGACGGTATCGGGTTCCCTGGAATGGAGTTCAGATGGTGGTGAGTCGCCATGTGGGTGCTGGGAACTGAATTGGAAGAGCACTTTGCACTCTTCACTGTGGAGCCGTCTTTAGATCTCCTGGCCTCAGAAGGTTCTTGAGACAGGGTCTCACTATGTATTCTGGCTATCCTAGAACTCACTATGTAGACCAGGCTGGCCTCAGATTCAGAGATCTCCCCACCTCCACCCTCCCAGATTAGAGGTGTCGGTGTGTGCACCACACCCGGCTTGCCTCTGGAGTAGCTGGGATTGCAGCCTGATATTTTCATTGTCCATTTTCGGCAGGGCTGGTGCCCAACCTAGGCCCTCTGCTGTGTCAGCCCGGCCATCCTGAGCTCCCTGACAGCACTGCTCTTACTGGCAGTTAGGGGTTGAGCCTTCCTAATGAGGACTCTGAGTTCCAGAAGGCTTCAAAGTCTGAAAATCTTGAGCGTGAACACGACAGATGGAACATACTGCTCTTGGCCTGACTCTCTAAATTGAAGTAAGAATATAGGTGGACCCGAAATCTGTGTAAAATTACCTCAGGCTGCTGAGGTGAAACCTGTGGATTTTGTCTACGAAGCATTCAAGTAACTGTAAGACCTGGGGTACCTGATGTGAAGTCTTGCATAAGGAATAATCAGTCTGTGTGCACCCCGTGGTGCAGGCATAGAAGAGATGCGCAGTATTTACTGAACGGCTAGTAAGGTGGCCAGCGGGGAAAAATGACTGCTGCCAGGAGCTCGATCCTGAGACCTCATGATTCCAAATTCATAAAGTTGTTCTCCAAAGCCCCTCATACACTCACACACACACTGGCACACTAACACCCGTGTGCATGTACACACAGAATAGAGTAAGTGTAATTAATATTTATTGAAGGGTATATGAAACAGGTTGTACCTTTGTAGCTGTGCAGGCAGTGATGGACCAAAAAAGATGGTGACCAATGGAGAAGCAGCGTTGAAACTTGCCGTGGTGTGTATGCCTCTAATCCCAGCACTGAGGATTTGAGGTAGGAAGGTTGTAAGGGTTTGGGGGGGGGGAGCATTGTTTTGTTTAAGACAGAGTTTCTTTGTGTAGTCTTGGCTGTCCTGGACTTGCCTTGTAGGCCAGGCTGGCCTCAAACTCACAGAGATCCACCTGGCTCTGCTTCCTCAAGTGCTGGGATTACAGGTGTGCACCACCACATCTGGCTCAGAGGCTTGTAAGTTTGAGACCAGACTAGGCTACATATGTCTCCCTCCATGCTCAACAAAAGGCCATTTGAAGTTTGTTCAGTCACACACACAAATCAAAACTCCTTTGATTTGGAGCAAAAGTCCAGGAGTCTCTGCATTATAGTATGACTGTCTTGTGGTTGGAAGGCTCAGGGGGTATGTGAGAATTCTAACACACACCACACATTGCATTGTTCCTTTTGAAGAAATGGTTCAGCTCTCTGCAGAGACTGACACATAAAGCCTAGAAGCCAAGTCCACATAGGGCTCATCAGCTGCCTCCCTCTGTCCTGTTGCCTTCAATTTTGCTTAATACACCCACCTCAGATGGCCTCACCTACTGCTACTCCCTTGACCTCTCTGAGCGAGTAGCCCTGAAACTTGATCAGAAGTTCCCCTTCAGCATCATGAGGAGGATTCCCCTGTTCAAGTACATCTCAGGTTCTTCTGCTGAAAGAAGAGCAGCCCAGAGCCGGAAGTAAGTGATGGATTCCCTCGCCTTCTTGATTGCATGATTGGTTTCAGTGCTGGGGGTAGGACCCATGACCTTCCCCACACTAGTTGGGTGCTCTGCCACTGTGCTAACGCCCACCGTTGGATTTGTGAGTCGGTATCATAGAAAGCCAGGGTTGGCTTTGAACTCAGGAGGCTCCTGTCTGTTCCTCTCAGATGCCAGGCTGTAGGTATAATCCCCACAGCCAGCTCTCAGTCTCATTTCCAAGAGCAACTGCAAAGCCAGTAAAAGCTGTGGCTGATTCACCTTGGAGAATAAAGGAGGGGGTACACAGCTTCTCAGCTATGTGCAGCTAAGGGTTGTAGTTCTGTTCAGCATAGTGCCCCTGCCTAGAATCCCCCAGTGAGGGGCTAGGATATGGCTCAGTGCAGAGCACCTGCCTGGAATCCCCCAGTGAGGGGCTGGGGTGTGGCTCAGTGGTAGAGCCCCTGCCTAGAATTCCCCAGTGAGGGGCTGTAGATCATTGTAGAGCCCCTGCCTAGAATCCCCCAGTGATGGGGTTGGGGTGTGGCTCAGTGGTAGAGCACTTACCTAATTCACAGGAGGCCCTGGATTCCAGCACTGCAAATAAGGGAAGAAAATTTGTGCACATGTATCTTCTGCCCTGTGTGAAAAGAAACCAAGTATGAGTGGCCAAAGACACTTGCATGTAATTCTGAGTGATTTGTGGCTAGGTAATATTCTTAAACACTGTTCAGTCAGCAAACACTGCAGGTAGCGCTGGGCTGTGACAGTTAGCCATGCTTAGACAGTCTGCTCAGTAGGTGACAGGGCAAGAGAGACCTGACAGGAGAGTTTCTTGGCTCCCCTATGAGAGCAGGTGAGGATGACTTTTTTTTTTTTCCAGTCTGGGCTTGTTTGCTGTTAAAAAACTGCTGGGCAAGCCGCCAGAGCATATGGGCCTCACACATTCTTTATAAGAGAGGCCCAAGAGAACAAGTGTTCCCAGGTAACACAGGGTCCAGGGAAGAGCCTGGAGTGACCTAGGGTCTCCGGCCCACAAGTTCTCTTTTCCATACTTCCTCTGCTGCTTGTGTTATATCCACTGTGTCCCCTCCGGGACTGTAGAGTTCCAGCACTTCCCTACTGTGCTGCCAGAGGGGGCCCGTGCTGAGAAATGAGCCCTGCACTGGTCTTTTCTGCCCTCTCTAGGCGGTGGGGTGTGTTTTCCCTCTGTTCCCAATGTCTGCAGCAAGCATTGTTGAACTGGAATAATTTGGTTTGGGCTGTTTTGTTTATTTTGAGACAGGGTCTCAAGCAGCCCTACCCTTCCTCAATAGCTATGTAGCCAAAATGAGCCTGAACTGCTGCTGCCTCCACCTCAGTGCTGGGGATCACAGGCATGTGCCCCCATGTCCAATGTATGAGGGCCCAGAGGTGGAGCCTAGGGCCTTGTGCACATTGGGCAAGCGCTTTACCAACTAAGCCATATTTCCAGGCTCTTTTTGAGCAATGTTTAAAGCAAAGGGAAAAAGCACGGCATGGTCCTGCTGAGGCAGGAGGATTTGAAGCTGGAGGCAAGCCTGAGCTACTTAGTGAAACCCTACCTCAGCTCACCACATCTAAAGAAGCCAAGGGCTGGGGTGTGGCTCAGTGGTAGAAAGTGTGCCTGGTGTGCAGGATTCTCCTAGCAACTTGGTAGGCTTTAGAGCTATAGACTTCTCCCTCAACAGGTCCCCTGTGTGACAGCAATAGAGTGGTTCATAAGCCCCAGCTCACATACTTCTGGTGAAAGGAGCTGCCCTCAAGAACAGAAGGGGCTAGAGAGATGGCTCAGTGGTTAAGAACACTGGCTGCTCTTCCAGAAGTCCTGAGTTCAATTCCCAGCACCCACATAATGGCTAACAACCATCTGTTATATGATCTGATTCCCTCTTCTGGTGCGCATGAAAATAGTATACTTACATACATAAAAAAAATAATATTTTTTTAAAAACACAGAAAAAAATTCTACTTGCCCACGGGGAAGCTGTGTCACTGGTGCCAGGTCTGGTCCTGGACAGATGTGAGTTGCGTAGCCCATTGTGTTCTTTCTCCGTTCCTCTTGTGGCTGGTGGTCGCTGGTTGCCAAGACCAGCTAGCATCAGAACAGAACATGATGTCTCAGGTGTCCTCACAGGGTCACGGAGAGCATTACGACAGGACACTGTTTATTTTAGTGCGCAGCCATGTGGGTTGTTTTGACTGATTGCTCTTGTTCAGGTTGGTTTGGCTTAGAGTTTGGCTGTTTTGTTTGTTGTAATAAAAATGTGTTTTTCCATAGAGGCACTTGAATAAAGCTAAAGTAAGTTCACTCCTCTCGCTACCCCTGGGAGGAACACAAAACACATTTCAAAAACAATACTGTGTTTTAAAGAAACAGGTCACAAGACTCTTGTTTTCTTGGAGTTTTCTCACACGGCTCCATTCTTGGACTGTGTTCCAAGGAGTGTGCACGCATGCCTCGAATGCATTAGTCCCTGGACACTGTACAGGCGGGCACGGTGGCTCATGCCTGTAAGGCCCCACCATGGCCTGGAATCCAGTGTTCTGAAGGTACTAACAGGAGGAGCCACAGTTCAAGGTCATTCTTAGAAACACTGAGAATTTGAGGAAGTCTGAGCTATGTGAGACCCTGGCTTCCACCCCACAAAGTCACCCTTTCTCCTCCTCACCTAGTGCTGCCTATGGCCCCATCCATGTTCTTTTTTTTTTTTTTTTTTTTTTATATTTATTTATTAGGGGCTGGAGAGATGGCTCAGAGGTTAAGAGCACTGGATACTCTTCCAAAGGTCCTGAGTTCAATTCCCAGCAGCCACATGGTGGCTCACAACCATCTATAATGAGATCTGGTGTCCTCTTCTGTCATGCAGGTGTACATGGAGATAGAACATTGTATACATAATAAATAAAAATAAATCTTTAAAAAAAAGATTTGTTTATTATGTATACAGTATTCTGCCAGCATGTACACCTGCACACCAGAAAAAAATACCAGATCTCATCAATAGATGGCTGTGAGCTACCATGTGGTTACTGGGAATTGAACTCAGGACCTTTGGAAAAACAGTCAGCGCCCTTAACTGCTGAGCCACCTCTCCAGTCCCCCATCCACCCTTTTATCTCAGGAAATGACACTGTACCTTGTCCCTGCCAACAGTGAGTGTCTTCTCTCTTATTCCTTCCTAGGCTGAACCCTGCACCTGGCTCCTACCCCACACAGAGTTGTCACCCTCATGTGACTCCCAGTCATCCTGTCACCCAGATGCAGCATGCCAATGGCCAGAAACTGGCTTCCTGGCCTTCGGGGTACATGCCTAGTCTGCCTCCATACCAGCCTGCCTCCGGCCTGTGTTCAATGCAGAACCACTTTAGCCCTAACCCCGGCCCTTCCAGTGTGTTCCCAGCCTCTGCAGGGACCTCCCAGGGAGTGCAGCCTCCCTCCCCCATCAGCTGTACTGGCACTGTGTATTCTGGAGCACTGGGCTCCGGGGCTGCAGGCTCCAAGGATTCTTCCAAGGTCACCATGCCCTAGCTAGTTTGCAGGGGGACTCCCATGATGTTGGACAGAGAAAGGTCCTATCTGAGAATTTCTTAAGTAATATTTATTGAAGCCAGGTCATGCCGGCCTGTCATCCCAGGTGCTTGGGAGGTTGAAGCCAATAGATCAAAAGATCAAGGCCTGCCTGGGCTCTAGATTAAGTTCAAGGCCAGCCTAGGATATGTGTAACAAGACTCTATTTCAGAATTAATAAAAATGGCTGGAACTGGGCCTCTGTGGTAGGGTATAAGACCCTGGGTCTTCAGCTCTACCAAAAAGAAAAAGAAAATATTTATTGAATACCTCTATTCAGCTCTGTTGAGTAAATGTCCCTATGTCTATGTCATTTCCCTTCAAGGCAGCTCTAGAAAGTCAAGTTTAGTGATCTAGCTTTCAGAAGCAGGAAGTAAGACATCATGGGGATGTCTCACCATGATGTCTTAGCTATGATCAAGGCTGGATCAGAGGTTGAAGGTCATCCCCAGCTACACAGTGGGTTTGAGGCCAGCCTCTGTACATGAGAAGACATGCTGGGGTTTCTGCAGTCATGAGGCTCCAAAGGCACTGTTGGGTCTCTTGCTTCCTGATTCAGTGTCCTGAACATGGTTGTCGTTGGCTGCCAGAGACGTGCCAGCCCTACCCATCCTTCTCAGTGCCTGTGGGTTCTTGCTTGTATCTGGTGTGTCTGTGTACAGGGCAGTCTGTGTAACATTGTCGTCCCCACAACATCCCTGTCCTGACTTCTGCCAGTGGTGCCCCATGGCAATGTGCTGGTAATCCACCCTGGTATGTCACCTTTCTATAAAAAACAGCCTCCACCCTGCCAATGCTGTGTGACTTATTTGTGTTTGGCCCAGGGTGGGTAGTGACTTGAGCAACAGCAATGGGCATGGTGACAAAGAGGTGTGAGGACCAGGATCACATCAAGTCTGTATGTGCTCGGGACCACAGTGAGGACCTGACTTGGAAAAGATAAGGTAGAAATTTGATCAACCCAGAAGTTGGTACAGCAAGTTAGTAAGACTGTCTGAAAAAAAAATTTTTTTAAATAAAAAGCTGGGCATAGTAGCACATGCCTTTAATCTCATCACTTGAGAGACAAAAACAGCAGACCTCTTGAATTTGAAGGCTGCCTGGTCTAGGTAGCAAGTTCCAGGGCATCCCGGAGTACATAGTGAGACTCTGTCTCTAAAGATAAAAGGCCAGTAGTGCCTGCCTTTAAGCCCAGCACTTGGGAGGCAGGGCGTGTAGGTAGATCTCTAAGGTCAGCCTGGTTCACATGAGCAGTTCAGGGCTCCAGGTGTGGCTCAGTGGCAGAGTAAGCACAATGCCTAGCATACAGGTGGTCCTGGGCTCCACCTCCAATCCTGGGGGTGGGGCTCCATATCTACACAGGTGGTTTAGATGTGGCCCATGGCCTTCACTTCAGGAGCTATAAGACCTGCTCTGGGCTGCCTCTGAGGGTCCTAGGTATTCCAGCACAGATGATACCTTACCCCAGCCCACTCCTCCAGAGAAGGTAGTCTGAAGATGGGCACACCCAAGTGGCCTTGGAAGCCCAAGCAAAAAGTCAATATGACGTGACTGAAGATGCCAGACCTGGATTAAGAAACTGAGTTCACAACCAAGGAACCAGGTGACCAAGTGGCAGCTGAATTCAGTGGGGACACAGCGCTGCAATCTGATGGGGCCTGAGGGTTTAGGCTCTGGCCATACCTGGCGTCTTAGCTGTAGTGGCACTTCCTGAATAAGACAGATGCCTGTTCTTAGGTATGGTCCCTCCACTCCAGTGTGGAGGCTAGGGGTGTGATGGCTACTTTTTCTTCACTGGGTAGGCTTGTGTGTCCCTGGGTTCTCTGGCCTTCCTACACAGAGTGGCTCACAGGCTAGAGCTGTGAGCACCAAGCACAGATTCCCTGGCAGCTGTGCTGTGAGAGTCATCAGGTCATCCCGTGTGCCCCAGCCTCTGGCTTTACTGATTGGCTCCAGAGATGCGGAGGAATTGAGCAGACAATGGCAAAGCTGAACTCCAGTGTCCCATACTGGCTGTCCCACCCTGACTGACTGCACCTAGATTTCCATTCTCTAGTCTTTTCCATGACCTGGAAGCAATTTGCAGGCAGCCAGGAGCTAGGTGAGAGTGGAACTGTTTCTTAGAGCCTGGCCCCCAGGTCCTGTTACTTGCCTGCAAGCAGCCTTTACCTGTTTTCATTGCAAATCTACCTCCCTTGGAGCTCTGGTTTGCAATCTCAGCGGCTGCCCTGAGCTATGATCTGTCTGTATGTGGATAATCTCCATGTGTTCTACAATAAGCCTTAGAGCTTAGGGGATCCCAACTCCCCATTTGCCAAAACGTGTCTCATGTCAGCAAGCCATGAGACCTGGCTGGGGGCAGAGATAAACCATGAAAATATTTGCAGGGGACACGAGTGCAGGCCTGCCATTTGATAAATGTTTGTCAAACAAGAAAGTTCAGGGCTGCTCAGATCAGTGAGGAAATGAAGAAATTTTTAAAAACTGCTGAAATCTGGAAGATGGCCCAGTGGGTAAAGGGTGAGGGCTTGACCCTGGATTCCCCCACACCGCCATTGAAAAACAACCAGTCATGGCCATGGGTCCCTGGAAGCCTGGTGCTGGTGCTGGTGCTGGCGGTTGGATTTCTGGAACTAGCTGGCTGGCTGGCCAGTGTAGCCAGAATCATGACCTCCGGGTTCAGTGAGAGACCCTGTTTCAAAAAGCAAGGTGAAGAGCAGCTGAAGACACCCCCATCTCAACCTCTGGCCTCCAATGCCCACAAATGCATGCACGTACCCACAGACCCCAGGTGCTAAAGAATGGTCATGGGGCTGTAGCTCAGTGGTAGTGGACATATCTAGAGAGCTCAGTTCCATCCTGGCACTGGAGGAGAAAAAGCATTCAACTAGCATGTTGACGGACACTTTTAATCACATTGATAGTGGGGATGAGAAAGAAGGATTTTGAGAACCAGGGATTTGGGGCTACATAGTGTTCTAACCCTTCCAGGAAAGGAAAAACCTTGACCTCTGTTGACTCAGCCTACGGGAATGTTGTCCTCTGACTCAAACCTCTGTCCTATCAACTCACATCTCAGGCAAGGCAGGACCAAGGAGCCAGGAAGGGCTTAGCAGATATCAGTTTGCCCAGCTTGCCAGCTCGGGTCTGCAGAGAGGCAGGGCACTGACCTGGGTGTCCTGGAGCTGCTGCAGAAAAAAGATTCAGCCTTTTTCTGCCCCAGCTTCAGCCAAAGGGAAGCAGATCTCCAGACAGAGAATGACAGGCGAAGGTGAGAACCAAGCCTGAAGCCAGCACTGCTAATAAAAGCATGGAGTCTGGGGGACAGGCAGGCAAGCAGGGAGTGGAAGAGAAGTGGGCTAGCTCCAGGCTCAGACAGTGAAAGTGGACAGGTGGGAGAAGAAGCCTAGAACTCAGTGACTGGCCGCACAGGGTGGTTACTGGGCTGAGTCTGGATTTTCTTCTCGGGAGTCCAGGCCTCCTTTCTGTCTAAAGGTCACGTGGATGAGATTGTCAGCCGGAGTAGAGAGTGTTCCCATAATCAGTGAGGGCTTTTCCAGTCATGAACAAACCACATCCTTGACCACAAAAAAAAAAAAAAAGAATAGCAGATTGAGCCTGCATGCTGGCAGAGACTTGGCTAGCCTGGAACTCGATATGTACGCCAGGCTGGCCTCCAACTCAGAGATTCGCCTTCCTCTGCTTCTTGAGTGCTAGGAGTAAAGGAATGCACCTCCAAGCCTAACAAAAGATTTGAAGAGCCAGGCAGTGGCGCATGCCTTTAGTCTCAGCACTTGGGAGGCAGAGGCAGAGCTCAGAGACCTCTGAGCTCAAGGACAGCATGATCTATAGAGTGAGTTCCAGGATAGTCAAGGCTACACAGAGAAACCCTATCTTGAAAAATAAAATAAAAATTAAATATTTACACGTATGTGGAGGTGGGCACACGTGCGTTAGGGAGTCTGGAGAAGCTGGAGGGGATATTGGGTTTCCTGGAATTGCAGCTATAGTCAGTTGTGAGCCACCATTGCTGTGGAACCCTGGTCCTCTGCAAGAGAAAATCTCTTAAACTGTTGAGCCATCTCTCTGGCCCCAAAGCCTTAATTTTTCTTCTGGGTTTTCAAGACCAGGTTTCTTTGTGTAGCCCTGGCTGTCCTGAACTTGATCTGTAGACCAGGCTGGCCTCAGATTCACAGAGGTCTGCCTGCCTCTGCCTCCCAAGTGCTGGGATTAAGTGTCTGTACCACTATGCCCAGCCCTGACATTTTTAACATAGGATTATTTGTTTGTTTGAGGCAGTGTCTCTTGAATCCCAGGCCTTGATCTCACTACATACCTGAGCATGACTTTGAGCTTCTCATCCTCCTGCTTCTACTTTTTGAATATTAGGATTACCAGCTTGTGCCACCATGCTCAGTTTATACAGCGTTGGGGATGGAAGCCAAGGCTTGGTGCATGCGAGATAAAGACTACCTACTGAGCTAGAGCCACAGCCCTTTAACACAGATCTTAAGCACTGGGTTCATAAAAAGAAAGGTACCTGGGGAAAGGATAAAGTACACTGGATCAGGTCAGTGTAGGTTTCTCAAAGGACAGTCATACTTAAATGTCCATTTCCAGAATTGAAATGTAAGTAGTTCCCAGGGTACCCTGGATGAGATTACAAACTTTTGGTTTTGTTTTTTAAGATTTACTTACTTGCTATGTATATAGTATTCTGCCTGCATGTACTCCTGCAAGAGGGCACCAGATCTCATTATAGATGGTTATGAACCACCATGTGGTTGCTGGGAATTGAACTCAGGACCTCTGGAAGAGCAGCCAGCCAGTGCTCTTAACTTCTGAGCCATCTCTCCAGCCTGAGATTACAATCGAATTAACATAAAAACCAGTTGTTGTGGCTCCTGTCTTTAATCCCCACACATGAGAGGCATGCCCTACCAGTCCCAGTCTCTCTGGTACCAGGGATGGAACCTAAGGCTCTGTGCATGTTAGGTAAACACTCTACCAACTGAGCTGTATCGAGTCTATAGACTGGGGCTCCCGGAAGCATGGACTAGTGGCCAGTGCCCATAGTGGTATGTCCCTTGGTGCTTGGCCAGCTGTCAGCTACAATAGCAACACTCCAAGTTGGACTTGAAGCCTGGTTTCTGGGAGATCCAGTGCCACCTACAGAAGAGGTGACAAGGCCACCTGAGACCCTGTTGGTTTTATGAGACGGTCTTATAGCACACTATAGGCTGAGTCGGAACAGAAAATCCTTCTGCTTTGGCTGGTGAGTGCCGGGATAACTGATGTGTACATGTTGGTCTTACAGCCCTGCTTAAACTTCAAGAGCTCCCTACACCTGGCCAAAAAGCTCAGGAAAGAGCTCTCTAAAGGCTGGCCAACCCTGCCTTCTTTTTATTATTGTTGTTGTTATATGTATTGGCTTGTTCTGTGCCAACTTGAGGCAAGCTAGGGTCATCAGAGAGGAAGGAGCCTCAGTTGAGAAAACGGCTCCATGAAATCCAGCTGTAAGGCACTTTCTCAGTAATCAGTGGGGAGAGCCCAGCCCTTGGTGGGTGGTGTCATCCCTGAGCTGGTGGTCCTGGGTTCTGTATGAAAACAGGTTGAGCAAGCCTTGAGGAGCAAGCCAGTAAGCAGCACTCCTCCACAGCCAGCTCCTGCCTCCAGGATCCCTGCCCTGCTTGAGTTCCTGTCCTGAGTTTTTTTCAGTGATGAACAGCAATGCAGAAGTGTAAGCTGAAAAGCCTTTCCTTCCGAATTTGCTTTTTGGTGATGATGTCTTGTT